GGTTGTGATAAAACCATTGCTAGAATTACCCGCTGGGTTTTTTAGGCCTAAGGTACATGAAGATATAGCCCACATGGGGGTGGTGTGCTCAGAGTGCCAAAAGGCCCAATTACAACCTATGCCAATTATTGATGTACCTTTCAGGTGGTACTCGATGTAATAGGGCAGGAGCAGGTAATTATTTTGGGTGGAGGGCCACTTAACAAGTTTTGGTGAGCTGTCAGGGGCCACATAGGTAGCCCCACCCCTTGACAGTTGCCCTGCCCCCAGTCGCCACTTTGGGACTGGAAGTCCTGCCCCCTAACCCTTGACCTTTGCCACCAGAAGTCCCCTTGCTGCCCCCCCCAATACTCCTTTTGGGAGGGGGGGGGTTGCCATCTTAGAACCAGAAAAAAACCAAATCATACACTAGAAGTCAAACACCTACCATAATATATTTTAATTTTATTACAAAAAAAAATTGTCATGACTTGTGATTGTGTACTGTATATAGAAGGGATTGCATAAGAATGCAAAAATAAAGTGTCACACTTTTATATTGTGTGTGTGTATGTGTATGGTGGGGTGTGGAAGAGTGTGGGGGGTTGCGAGAGGGTGTGGCTGTATAGGAGGGCATAGGGTATGTTGGAGTGTATGTATATATTGATGGGGCTTGTAAGGAGGTCAGGGCACTCATGCCCAGCGCAGGCGCAGCTCTGGCCAGTGCTGCATGCGGGGAGGGAGCAGAGCCTGCCCTATTGCCGGGGCCCCACACTATGCACCTGCAGCTCCAGCACTCACAGTGGGAGAAGCCCTGCACTGGAGCCTGCTGCCTCCCCTGCTCCCTGCTGTGCAGGTTCCCACACCCTGCTGGAGTGAAGGGAACTCTGCCCCCTGCTTCCCCGCAGAGTCCAGTGCAGAGCTTCCCCACTGTGAGTGCAGAGCTGCAGGCACATGGGGTGGAGTCCCCATGATAGAGGTGGTCAGCGCTGCTCTGGGGGTGAGGAGTGCACCCATGCTCAGCCTGCCTGGCCACTTCTATTGCAGGGACTCCACACTGCACACCTGCAGCTCTACACTAGCAGCAGGGAAGCCCTGTGCTGGACTCCACGGGGAAGCAGGGGGTGGGGTTCCCTCCACTCCAACAGAGTGCAAGGACCTGCACAGCAGGGAGCAGGGGAGGCAGCAGGCTCCAATGTGGGGCTTCCTCCACTGCAAGTGCTGGAGCTGGAGGCATGCAGCACAGAGCCCCAGTGATAGGGCTTCACTCCCTCCCCCTGCACAGCGCTAGCTGGAGCCACACACCACTGGGTGCCTGTGCTGGGTACGAGCACCCTGACCTCCCCGCCTTCTCTTGCTGCTGGCAGCTGAGGATGCACGCCATGGGGGGAATGTGTGTAGGGGTCCCTACACCCCCCACCTTCACACCTACACCCACACCCTTCCCATCTGAGTTCCGCACTCCCACTGCCCTTCTGGCCACAGGCTCCATGCTGCACTCACGCTTCTGCCCAGCTGCAAATACACCCCCCCCCCCCGCCACCCCTACGGCTTCCCTACCTGCTGCCCCAAATGAGCAAGTTTCGACTGCAGGAGGAGCCCCACCTGGCTACAAACTGCATCCAGTTCCACTCCACCCACGTTTTCAGTTTGTCCAGATCTGGTTGGGTCCACATCCTGTCCCCTAGCATGACTGCTTTTCCCCATAAGTTAGTATCATCCAGAAACTTGGCCAATGTGCTCTCCGCATACTCATCTAAATCACTGATAAAAATGTTGAACAGCATGGGGCCAAGAACTGAACCCTGTGGTACACCACCAGCCACCTCCCTCCAAGACAATACAGACCCATCCACTAACACACTCTGGGTTCAACCCCTTAGCCAGTTTCCAGCTTACTTAACTCTGGACTCTGCCAGGTCACCATCCCCCAGTTTTTTTATAAGAGTGTCATGGGAGACCATATCAAAGGCCTTTTTAAAATCCAAGTATATGACATCAACCATGTCTCCCACATCAAGGCAGTTCATTACTTGATCATAGAGGAGACAAGGTTGGTCAGGCATGACCTGCCCACAAGAAAACCATGTTGACTATCCCTCAGGATCATGCCTTCTGCCAGTCTCTCACAAATGGACTTCTTGATAATTTTTTCCAAAATTGATAATTTTTACCTAGTATCGAGGTCAAACTGACCAGTCCTATAGTTTCCCAGATCTTCCTTCCTCCACCTTCTTAAAGAGTGGCACCACACTGGCCCTTTTCCCAGCTTCTGGGACCTTTCCTGAGCAGCATGAGTCTTCAAATATCTTCACCAATGGTCCCACAATGACTCCAGCCAACTCCCTCAGCACTCTCAGGTGTAGTCCATCTGGTCCTGCTGACTTGAAGACATTCAGCCACTCTAAGTGCTCCCTCACCAGTTCAACTGTGACCTTTGGTTGGCAATGGCTCCGGCCCCCTCATCCCCTCCCCCCACATACATCCTGTATCCAACCAGGCAGGCAATCACCATTTGTATGCCAGGAACACTGATGTATTCATTCACGTGTTCAGCTTTCTCCTGACTGTCTGTTATCAGCTGTCTGGTCCCATTCTGCAAGGGCCCCACATTTCCCTTGGTCTTCCTCCTGCTCCCTATATACCTAAAGAAAGACTTCCTATTGTCCTTGATTTCAGTCACCAACCTGATCTCAGTTGCCTTTCTTGCCCTCTTTATCCTTTCCTTACAAATACAGGCTATACTTGTGTATTCCTCCTTGGTGGCTACCTCTTGTTTCCACTGTCCACAAGCCTCCTTTTTCTTTTATAATCACTCCTTGACTCCTCTGGTAAGCAAAGAGGGCTTCCTGGCCCCTTTACCACCTTTCCTGCAGACAGGAATGGACCTTTTCTGCACTCTGAGGATTGTTCCTTTGAGGGACCACCATCCTTCCTGAACTCCCTGCCCTCCAGTCCCTCTTCCCAAGGGTCTCTCCCACTATTTTCCTATGCTCATTGAAGTCAGCTTTCCTGAAATTAAGCACCTCTGCCCTACTGGCTGACTTCCCTGCCCTATGACAGATAGTGAAGTCTAACAACTCAAGATCACTATCTCCCAGATTACCCTCAATCCTTAGATCTCCCACCAGGTAATCCCCTTTGGCTAGAACCAAATCCAACAAAGCCTTCCCCCTGGTCAACCCATTCATCTCCTGTTCTACATAAAGTTCTTCCACACAGGTCAAAAACCTATATGATTGGTCAGATCTGGTTAAGTGCTTGTCCCAGCAGATGTCAGGGTAATTGAGGTCACCCATGACAACCATGTACCTTGAATGTGCAGCCATCAGTTCTCTGGAAAATTCCAGATCCAGCTCCTCCTCCTGGTGTGGTGGTCTGTAATAGATGCCTACCATCAAGTCCCCTTCTCTTCAAACTTAGATCTTCAACACAGTTTCAAAAACATCCAAGATCCTCAACACCTCCCCACCCTCCATCATATTTGAAGCGTAGGCCTCATGCTAGTAGAAAGAGACTAAAAATATAATTTAATGCTATGCATTACACTTAGCATATTAATAGTATTAAGTCCAAGCAGGCCTGATATGAAACAGATTTCTCCAGAAGCCCAAGTTGGCTCAGAGTGAACTGAGTGCTGCCTAATACAGAAACAGAGAATTCTTTTCACCTGACAAATCTGACTTCTTAGCACTTTCGTAATATGGACTCACAATACAACTCAGAATTTGCTAATCAGGAATTATTCATCAGCCAACCACTTCTTGAACAAATGCACATTCATTAGCTTGGTTGTGCTTAGATTGATGAAAAAGTGGGTTTCTGTTCATGTTGTCATACAGAAAGAATGCAGACTGAAATACAGAAAGAATGCAGGCTGAAATTATACTGTTGGTCTAGAGGCTTGCTTACACTGGACATCTTAGGAAAATTAATCATCTGAATTAACTTTTAAAATTGATTAATTCAATTTATTAAACCCCATTGTGGGAACTGTAACAAAACAACTTTCATTCAGTTTAGCTTACTTCTCTTTTAAAGTAAATTAAACTAACCAGAATTAAGGGTACTTTAATTCTTAATTACGGTGCTCAGGTGGCAGTTTAACACAGTTTAACTAACCCACTTTAAATTTACACCTTCAGTTAATTTGGATTCATTTCCCTGAGTGACCTTATATAGATAAATCATAGATCTTAGAGGACCAGATTGTTTTGTTTTGTTTCATTTCTCTTAGCCATGCTTGTAACTGAAAGCCTTTTTCAGACCTGTATCAAACTAGGCCCACTGAATCTGATAAGTGCGACACGTATCAATTGATTTTGCATTTCTTCCACATTCAGCTATCACCTGAACGGTTTGTATATTTAACCACAGTTCAATTTTCAGCCAAACCGAGCACCTCTGTCCCTCCCTGGTAGGTACTTTGTTTTCTAGTTAAACCAAAAAAAAATCCTTTTCTGGCTTAACAAAAATCTAAAACCTTCTAATCTCTTCACTTGGGTCACTCTTCTCAACACTAGTAGCCTCTGCTAGTCTTTAGGTTTGGCAGATAAATTCATACCCTAGCTCTTCTATAAAATGTGTAGTCCTTGAAAATTAAACAGTTGTCAGATACGATCACTTTTCTTCTCTCACCAAAAATGTTTTCTTGGCACCACAAACACTTACTCTGTGGAGAAACTAACCCAGCCTCCTTCAGATAGGTTGCTTATCTTCTATCAAGACTAAGAGTTAGAGCAATTTTTGCTCCTTTCCCATTGTCTCCTCTGGTGAAAAGGAGAACTTTATATAATCCTGGTTTTGCCTTTCTGCAAGGCCCCAAACTCCCTGGTGTCCTCAGAAGTTGCAAAACCCAGAATGCCTTGCTATAGAAATAGAATAATGTTTGGAAACAGGCTTGACTGTAACAGAGCATGCTGACCTCTTTAGTGTGCAAGATGAATGCAGGATCAGGGCCAATGTATATATTTGGTGCAGATTACACACTGTATTTACAGAAAGTGAGAAACAGGAAAGGATTTTATACAAGATCAAAATTTTATTAGAAGATTAACATTATCTTGATACTTCGTGACATTTTCTGAATATACCTTTCATAAACACAGATATTCATTTACTATGCTCATGTTTCTTTTAAACTGGCCTGTCAAGAGGGTGCAGTGTGCTACAAAAAACTTATTATATATGACAAGCATAGATTCCTTTGTCAGCAGGATTCATCAATCAAGCTGAAGTGGGTATACTTTATTGTATAAACTCTTAAGCTGTGCATATTAAATGGCCTCACCTTTTGAAAGCCCAGGCCTCCTCTGTTCAACCAATCTGGCCAGAGCCAATCATGATCCAACACAAAGAATGCTTTATCTAAGTATAAAAGTTCAGCTACAGCCTGCAGCATACTCACTGGGCCCCACTTTTCACATTGCTTCATCAGAAAGTTTTCCTAAAATAGGGCATTGACCCATCAAAATGAAAATGAGCCATGATAACACCTAGCACTCAAAGAGCACTTTTCATCTCCAAAATACTGAACAAACACAAACTAATGAATCTTTCAGCACCCTTGTGAGACTGGTGGATAAGTATTACCACCTCCTCTTTAGAGAGAGGCAAAGTGGAAAGAGAAGTTAAGTCCCTTGCCAAAGACACCGAGGTAGTAGATCGGAAACAGGATTAGAATTCAATAATTTCTGTGTTTAGACAATTAACTGTCTCGTATTCCTATTTGAACAACAATGGGATGTCTATGTATACTACGAATCAGTAGTTAAAATGGCACAGATTGATCAAAAGACTGCAATTCCTAAATGTTTTAATTTTTAGAAAAGCTGCACATATGCAGATAGCAGCACTTTTCAGATGTTTAATGTGTACTTTAAGACTCGCACAATAATGAATCATTACATTTTTAGTACTGATAAATAATGAACAGGACTCTCATGAAATACGCAAGATTTGGGAAACAAGGCCCAGCCACACTGTTGTTATCCCTTTGATAAATGCAGCGGATAGTATCATAAGCAGCTTTTGGATCTTCACTATGTACTGCAGATTAATATAAGGAGACATATTAAGAATACTTATAATGAAGTGACTACCTAAGAAGCACCTAAACATAAACTATTATATTGTTTGTGGTCATTTGCATTTTAAGCACCATATGCAGCAATATACAGTAGAGATTTCCAATGTAGAACATAATTAGAAATTTTCTCCCTTCATAGAAAAAAACCCCAAATGACTGTCACTTAGGGATTATCTCAAAAAGTCTCATCCTGCAAACATCTGTGACCAAGTGAAGTGCTTGTTGTTATGAGAAGTCCCAAAAAAGTCAATGGAATTATTTGCAGTTAAAATTTTGTTTTGGTAGTGTCTAAAGCAGGGGTAGGCAACCCCCAGCATGGCTGCAAGAGCTTGGCATGCAAAAGCAATTTGCTTGGCATGCATGCCTTGGGGTGGATGTCAGGGAAGGGGCTGGGGCTGTGCTGCCACAACAAGGATGGGGCCCCTCATGGCTCCCCCGCTGTCCGCTCCTCGCACGCCAACATCTTGCAAATCAAGGTTGTGGGTGTTTTTGGTACTCTGCCCAAAAATGTTGCCAACCCTGGTCTAAAGGACCAGGCTCCAAGTTTGCAATCTGTTACATATGATTTAAGAAAATTATTTACTGAAAGTTCAAAAAAATACAGTAACCCTTTCCTTCCTGTCCCAAAAGAAAACATTTCTATGTACAAGGCATCATTATTAGTCACTTCTCATTTATACATGATTTTTTTCATTATCACTTTTTTCCTGTTTAATATAAGTAGAAATAATAAATATACATGGTACACCAGTTATGAGACCATTAAAAAAAACACGAGTCTTTCCAAAAGAAAACAAGAAACATTTTAAAGCACAGAAATTAAGAGCTAGCCAAAAAAACAAAGAACATAATTGTCCTTCCTGTCTTAGAAGCTGCAGTTGGTCCATTTGCTTCCAGTGGGAACTGCAACTTATGCAGTAAACCAGATAGCTTTAGACCTGAAATGACAGCAAAACCTCAAGATTATCATCCCAATGAAGTCCGTTTTATGTCAACTACTTGGAAGAGAAACAAAATTGATTCTATTGTGTCAAAATGAAATGCACAATATTCAAATTATAGGGCAAGTATTTATTTTCAGTTGCTGTTAGCTTTAGGGGTTCTGAATGTTTTCTCTCCAAGAGTGGTATCGATCAATGCCACAATTTATAAGCAAGGTGTAGATAACCCATCAAGTTCTTCACATCTCTGAACAGGTATATTCACGAAACAAAACTTGAATTATTTCTGTAATTAGGGGCAAATTGGTAGAATTTAGCTAAGTACTAGGCTGCATCCCAGGCTCTGCAGAAGAGTTAAATCTTCCCATCTCCCCTTACAAAGACTGAACTTATGAGTTTACTTTTTGCTTTTTAAAGAAATGTTAGAATGAAGAACTGGGACTAATTTTACTCTAGTTTGTCCAATGTGTGGAAAAGTTACAATGCTGTGGGGGCCAAACTTTTTGGTAGGTGTGCTACAAGATAAACCTTGCACCCCACTCTCCAAGTGCCACTCTGATCCCCATCTTCTTCTCCTTCCCAAACCATTTCTCTGCTTTCTGCCCCCTGCCTTACCTACCATTCTGCTTCTTGTCCCCTTCCTCATCTGCTAGAAATCACACACAGGGGCTGTTGATGCCACTTGTGGCATATGTGCCACAGGTTGACCACCCCTGTCATAATGCATGGTAAAAATGTGAAGTGACTCCATTACGAGGGACTTCTTCACTCATAAAATACAGTGGGAGCTTTGTCCCTTTAATACAAGCAGGTTTAGGTCTTATGTACATTCTTCACCATGTAATTCAGAAGTATACAGTACTTAAGTCTCAAGTACACTCAACTCCCTTTGGCTTCAAGAGGAATGGAGTGCCTACTCCTTGTCTTCCCACCCCAGAGGAACATTCATAAATGTGTTCCTAGAAATAGTGTGCTATCCTTCACATATGTGTGTGTGTGGACTATATATATGTGCATTTATATATAAATAATAGCTATTTCTTAGGTAAGAAAACCTTTGCAATTAGTTTGATCTGAGTAGATTTCATGTAAATCTACCCAGTCTTCCTATTTTTACTTTAAAGGGCATTTACTGTAGTTTTTTTCTGCTTGCTATCCAGATCTCTGTGCTGGCTTTGGTATCCTTCCTTAGTAGTCTCTGAATGCTGTATTCTCTAGAATTTTATATCGCATATGAGAAAAGTATTTATAAAATGTGTTTGTGCATCTATACTGATCATTCCCATTTGCCCTTATGTTCTTCAGCATTCTGCCTATTAGTCAGCTGCTGACCTGAACCCCAGAAATGACAGCATTTCACTGCTGCTGTAGGTCTCTGAATCCTAATCCTGCAATCAGTTTGAGAGATGTATGATTTGGAGCTCTAATGGACCATTCACATGGGCACAGTGAGACGATTAGGCTCAGGATTTCTCAAGCACCTTGTGGTGAAAGGTGCAGTGCCAATGTAAAATATGTTTGTGCTACATATACATTAATTATAGAAAGAAAAGGTTACCATTTTTTTCTATGTGGAACTAGTAATCAAGTACCATGTTTAGTACAAATGCTTTTTAAAATCCTCTGAAAAATATTAACGTTCCTTTTACCAAATAATTAATATATCACTCCTGTGAAAATCGATTCACAGAAACCATGCTTCTTTCCAGTGATATAGACTTGCCGGCCATTGTTGCCTCCAGTAAAAGCATTAGCACTTCTATTTAAGGCAGTCTAACATTAAATGGCATGGTGCATTTCGGGAGTGCCTAACTTGTGGCAAGACTGCCAAAAGTAGCACAGGAGGCCTCTGTGTGTGGCATATGACAGACCCAGGGGGGACAGGCAGTTCAGCAGCAGGAAGCAGAAGACAGAAGAGGATGAGTGTGGCAGTTGGGGAGGTTGTAGAGCTAATCCGTGGCATGCCTGCCAAAAAGATCAGCTCCCACTGGTGCATTTACTAAGAAAATGACTTGAACCATCAGTATTTCCCTCCAGAACAACCAACAGCTTTCTGTTGCACGTCTTTGCTACTTCCCTCCATCCCCAAATCCCTAAAATTGACATGTCTCCTTCCTACTTAAAAGTGCTAGTTTGAATTCCTCAAATATCTTTATGACTAACAACACAACCATGCTGTTCTGCTCTTGGCTGGCACCTGACTTTTACACAGGCATGCCCCCTCCCACATGGAATTTCAAATCCACTGAGGGACAGTTAGCAACACTAAGAGCAGCACTAATTTACATGGATATGGTACTGTAAGTTATGCCACACAGGGTGAAACATGTTGGGCAGAGCAGCTAAGCAATGACAATTCTCATTTTCCAGCTGACTGTGCATTCAGAGCATAGTGCATACATTGTGCTAGTGGGAGGGGAGGGGCTACATAATGGTGAGCACTAGACAGCTGCCTTTCCCACTGTGTGACCCCATTAGAAACCACTAACACTGGACCTGCATGGTTTTCTTCCTTCAAGGCCCCTGTTATCAAAGGATTTCCCAGAAGGCAAAAATAAGTCTAATTTATATTCTAATCTTTTTGACCCCCTTTGAGACAGCTGTTTACATAGCTCTGTGCCTTAATAAGCAAGTAGGGATACACACAGTTACAAAGAAACAGATACCCTAAGTGCCTCCTTTTTCAAAAATTAAGGTTAATAAATTGAGCTGTAATGACTAAATTGGCACCTTCTTGTAACAGGGAGCCAGAGGTCCCCTGTTACTTTAAAAGGAGTGCTGCAGGCAGCTGAGCTGGGCCCCAGCAGGGAAAGGAAACTGGTCCATCAGATCCAGGGTGGATACCCCTATGGGTGATTGGAAAGTCACTTGACAGGAAGGGGCAGGATTTAGGAGGCACATAAAGCCAGTGCCTGAGATCAAGCAGTCAGTCTGGCCCTGTAGGCAGCAGGGAGAGGAGCTCCTGAGCAGAATGTCTGCAGGAGAGTGACTGGCTGATACCTGAGCTGCCCTGGGGACTGCAAATAAGAAGCTTATAGCTTGCAGGGGAATATGACCTAGTGTGGGGGTGGTTTGTTGTAGTCACTGGGCCTGTATTTTGGTGTAAGGTTTAAAACAGTGGACTGAGAGTGGCTATAAGGGGTGAATGAGGAGGCCACAGTGGGGTGCCAGAAGCACAGTGGTGCTTTAAGCCCTGCTAGGGGCTGGGGCTCAGGATGCAGAGCAGGCCTAAACCAAAGGGTGTTAAAACCTAGAGAAAGGCTGAAGTCTTACCTGGGCACAAGGCAACTGGGGCCAGAGGTCCAGTGCCCAAGACCCAGTGCAGTGGGCCTAGACTAAAAGGAGTCCAGCTAGAGGAACGAGGCAGAAGCTAGGACAGCCAAGGCCCAGACAAGGGTGTGGGGGCCTGAGGAGGTCTGACATTGTATTGGGACAAGATGCCAACTGGAGCAATTCACTGTTAACATGTGCAAGGCATGCCTATGACTGTAGGAGTGGAGAAGGGCACAAATAGCCCTTAAGGCAACAGGTGCCCTGGGGCACAGATGGGCCAGGAGGGCCACTTAGCACTTAAGGGTCAAGGTTGGGATCAGCGGGGTCAGAGACAGACCTGCTGGTCAAAAGGCAGGTGAGGGCTCTCTCTGGGATCCAAAGGCAACCTCCTGTTTTGCAAATCAACAAATTTACATCAAGGCATTGCAGGCAAATGAAAAGACAAGATACCCAGGGAACTGGATGGGGCAAGAGTTGTGTGGCCAGTAGAGGGCACCACAGCTGCCCCTAGGGGCACGATCCTGTTGGACTTCTGAAGAGGGATTCTTAGTAGGATAAACATGTCCCTTACAGGTCCCCTCTGCAGTTTGAATGTGCATGCTGAGAAAGGAGACTCTATGGGAAATAATTTCATACTTGAAATCACATACTTGGAAAGCTGATGCACAGGTTATCCAGCTGGTCATAAAAATAAACCAAAACATCCCCAATGCCAAAGGCTTACTGTGAAAAGAGGAGCTGAGGTGCAGGGACAGATTCAAGGGGACTGTGGCAACATGGTTGCCACCTCTTCACCCCCCACCTCCCCTTCAGCTGTGTGGCCATGCACAGTGAGCTCTCTGAGCTCGCCAGCTGACCATTGCAAGGTTTGGGCTGAAGCTCCTGTTTTCACAGAGCTCCAGAGCCCAGACAGTGGTTGGCCTTCTCCCTTCCTCCCCACTAAATTCAGCAGCAGGAAAAAAGAAGGGATGAGCAGTAGAAGCAGCATTCGGACCCTGGGCTCCAGAGCCAAGGGAAAACAGAAGCTAAGCACCACTGCTACTCATCTCCTCTTTTACTCTGCTGCTGAATTCAGCAGCAGAGTGGGGGAGAATGAGGAAGGGAGCGGGGAGGTGGTGGCTCCCCTGTAATTCGAACCCTGGAAAGAGATTTTTAAAACATTACTGCTTGAAACGCCTTCAGACTCCAAAGAAAACGCAGAACCTATTTTTCAAATGATGACTTTGACTTTGATAGGTTTTCTAAGGATTCCTGCTCTCTGATATTTAAAATTTGGGGCAACATTTTCAAATGTTTCACATCTGTAATCAAGCACTTTACATAAGTCGCATTCTGGACACGTAAGGAAAGTGGCCTGATTGACAGAGATCTGGAGCATAAATAAGTTCCTGTGAAGCCAGTGGGAATTAAAGGTGCTTAGTACCACTATATCCCTCCAGTCCTCTTGTTTATGAATTGTAAAATTATTTAGTTTTGGCCAGAGCCAACCTTAGGGAAAATGGTGCTTTGGGCAAACTTGTATTTTAGCACCCCTCTCCCTATGTCCACCCCAAATCAGTGGTGCTTCTACAGGCAGAGGCAGGTAGGCAGGGCCAGCAAGGAGGCAGAACTGTATGCTGTGCCAGCAGGCAGGTGGTCAGCAACTGAAGGTGGGGCCACCATGGGGGGCAGGCTGGGCTGGGCACTTCTTCTACCTGGGGCAGAGATTGGCTGGAGTGGGGCATGTCGAGAGTCCTGCTGTGAGCACAGGCTGCTCAATTGTATGTGCATGTGGTGCCCCACTGATCATGGTGCCCTAGGCAGTCACCCATGTTGTCCACCCCGCTAAGTCTGGCTCTGGTTTTAGCTCACTAAACTAAAGCCCTACTGAACAGGAAATATTTAGCCAAAGCTAGAAAATGCACACTTTAGTTCTGATTATGTCAGATAGCAATTACTTCTTCCATGCTCACTGACTTCAGTAGCCTTAGCTCCTTTGTGATTCTAGCAGCTGAGTTTCTTTAAGCAAGATGGCCTCAAGGTTCTTACCAGCTTAGATCCTTTTTTCTGTTTATGGTCCTTCTCTTCATTTTTTTCTTTTTCTTTTTTTGTTTTAGCTAAATAGAACCATACTAATTACACATATTAATTAAAACAGCAAACATACATATTTATTGCCCAGGTGTGAAGAAGATTCATCATGTTGTTGGGTGTTATTCTTCCCGAGAGGACTGCTCTCCTAAGAAACAGAAGATACATTTTGATCAATTAGGCATAGAAACAGAATGAGAAATGAGTTCAGGAAGAATACATCAGAGCCTGCCCTGCAAAACTAGCCTAGTCTCCTTATCAGAGCTACATTACAGGCAAAATTTTCCATTAAACTCTACACAGTGAACCTTTGCTGCCCTCTCTATATTCTACGGGATGTAAGTATGTGCGTAAGTGCTTTATTAAATAGGGATGAATTTAAGTAGTACTGACAGGTTTTTCACAACAGGAGCCTCTATGCTGAAAAATCCCTTACATGTCTGTTTCCAGGGTACACTGTTCCCAGTGCTACTTACCATTAAAATCACTAGGAGTTCTTTACATGTAGGCAAAACAGAATATTTAGGTCATAAGTTTTCCTGTGGAGTTGTAAAGGGAATCATCCTCTTAGATTGGATTGGCCTGTGTAACCAGAAACTGGTTTTGTGAAACCCACATGCCTCCAGAGAACAGCAGATTACATCTCTGTTCACTTCTCTGAAAGAAGTTTTTCACCAATACACACAAGAGGATAATTTAGAAGGTATACTACAGCCTGCTAAAAAAGGAATATTGTCTATCAGGAATCACTGTTGTATAATTATAAGAGCACAAGCCCAATGCAAATTAGTTAATTCACTTATTTGCTGTTCATTTTGAAAATTCTGTAGTAATCTGATTTTTTTTAATGAATAACCAGTGCTTTTGAGGTAAGTTACATGGGCAGCAGTATTTGCCCTCTAATGAAGTGCAAACTTCAGAGGCTAGCATAAAACTTGGTATCATCTGGGATTCTAGTGCAACTGCTAGAAAAATCCAAAAGTAACTTAAAAAACAGGGCCGGCGGGGGGCGGGCGGGGGGAGGGCCGAAACAGGGCGACTGCCCTGGGCCCTGTGCTTTGGGGAGCCTCGTGGAGCTGGGCGGAGTGGCCATGGTGACTCTGTGCCACCGCTGTTGGCTTCATGTCCCGCTGCTTACTTCCCTGCCCCCCGCAATGGCAGCAGTGACTTCTTTGCATCCAGGGCGCGTGGGATCAGGGCAGGGGCGAGGCCCCACATGAGCTGATTTGCTCCAGACCCCGCACACTGCTCAGGTCAGCTCTGTTAAAAAACGTTGAATTTATTTTCACTTCAAAATATTCAAAATTTATGGAGAACAATACTATCAAATACATTATTGAAAAATATACTGAAGTAGCTGCTAGCAAATTTTCATTTACTGAAGCCATCAATTTTCAGCGCACAACAAAAATGTCAGCAATCATTTTAATAATTCATTATACAAATTTTGATAGAAAAATATTGGGAAAGAAGGCATAGAAAGAAAGCTGTGTTCTGTGCACAGAAAAATTAGTTTAAACAGTATTTCCGTGAAGGAGGGGGTTAGTTTTGAAATAAGGAGCAAATATTTCAAATATAACTCCAGTTGTTATACAGTTTTGTCTCAACCAACTCCATAGACTTGCAAAGACTCAGGGCCAGATTAACACGTAGGCAAACTAGACACATGCCTAGGGTCCTGAATTGCAGGGAGGCCCAATCCTTCCCCTCCGTGGCAGCGGTGCAAATGGCCCTTTCCACCTCCCTTCCCTTCCCTTCCCTTCCCTTCCCTTCCCCTCTGCCAGCCTTGCTGCCACAATACCTGCTTCCTAGCAGCGGCTCCAAGCCCCACTCCCCACTGGCAGCAGCGCTGGGAGGGGGGGGACTCAATTGGCCCAAAGCCCATGAGTTTGTTTGTCTAGGACCCACTAAAGGGTTAATCTGACCCTCCAAAGACTTCCTGGTTTCTTTATTGGGTTTCTTTGTTTTCTTTTTGGCCTGCATATTTTAACCTTTCTTCAATTTCAGATACCTGTTCTATATGAAAAATATTGAGGGGAGGGGAGGGGGGGGGCTGCTGCACTAATGATGGTGCAGGGAAATAACAGAATTGCTTTGGGGAAGAAAAGGTGAAAAATCTGTAAAAAACATTACCAGGTATTTTGGTTGTAAATGTTCAATATGTTCTGACCAGCTTTAGTGTCAAAGGAATCCTGTGTTCCTGCCACCTACTAGGTAGATATCAGTAAAAGAATCTCACTGCTCCCCATTGAAATATGACAGTTGTAAGGGTCTGCATCAAAGCCACTGAAGTTAGTCGATTGATTCCTTTTAAATGCACTGGCCTTTATACCAGGACCTAAAATGATACGTATGTTTCTGGATGCATGAAATATTGCTTGCTACAGAAAGCTGGCTATGCTGTCCTGTATCTACCAACAGCTGTAGTGTGATAGTAGCAAGGAACTTTGTCTAGTTGCTTTATTACAGATACAGCGACTGCCAGCCTGCATTCTTTCCTCCCTTGATGGCACAGAGATTAAGGTAGGTGCCACACCTCTCACTGGTATATACACTCTCTCACTATAGAGAGAAAGTTCTGTGTGATGTGTGTGAAGCCCATGAAAGTGTTAATTGGCTTTCATATATTGCTGGATATCCTCCTTGTAAGTATAGCCCAGGTAACTCGGGTATATACTCCCCTTCTCCAATTGAGGAGAACTGTTAGCTGGCAGGTGTGCTGTGGGGAACTGCAGACCACTCAGTTTCCCTCCATCCCTATAGAACCAGGCCAGGACAGTCAGGGGACTTAACTATATACACATTTATTTACATTAACTTATCACAAGGAAAAGAAACATGGATATAAACATATGTACTATATATAAGATAACTAAACAAATAACATAAACAATAACCTCTGGGTAAATGCCATAAAACCTTATACCAGTGCTATAGATACAGGTAAGTCACAGGTAAGTATCTGATCTGAAACAGATAAACCCCAAAATAAACATAGATAGCTAACAGATAAATTATAGATAAGTATGGGTGAACAGTAAATAAGCTACAAATACATACAAATAAACAACAGGTGAAATAATAACAACAGGGGGTCCCAGCAGAGCCCTAGGACTCGACTCATCTACTCATTTACAAACATGAGTTCACAAAATATAAGGCATGACATCACACCACTTATGGCGCAAAAACCCCAAAGATAAATGTAATCCCCAGGGGAAACCCCAATGCCCTTGGGCTTTTCCCAAGCCCTACAAGGAAGCTGGTAACTTTAGGGGGGCCCTCCCAGTGGGACCTCCACTTTCAGGAGCCCTTATCTAACTGGGGGGACTCCCCCTCCCCTGAAGGAATCTTTTTCCCGTGCAACTCACAGCTCCCAGGCCTGGAGGGTGGCCCTCATTCTCTTTGCCAAGCTGCTCTCTCACCTGCGGTGGGCTTCGCAGGGGTTGCTGTCCCCTGGAACAGGGCTCCGCTATGCAGGGCTTCTGGATCTCTGGACTCAGCCTTTTGCTATGGGTCGGAGGCCTGGGCTGCCTCATGCAGCACCAGGCTCGGTCTGCTCCCGGACCTTCTGTGCAGCACCTCCTGCACCAATCTCCCAGTCTCATTCTGGGGGTTGTGGACCTGAGCCACTCAAGTGCTCCAAAGGTCCTACTCCATGCACCGGTCTGTGCACCGTATCTCTGGCTGCACGCCAGAGGTTGCAGACCTGCGCCACCTCACGTAGCTCCCAGGGTCTGGATGCCGTGCTGCACACTGAGAGCCTAGCTGCTGGAGCGGTCCACCATTCCCCACTGATGGAAGTCTTCAGGGGCTCTTCCTGGGCTACTGCTTTGCCCTGCTGAGCAGCTCTTCTCAGCTCTTCTAAGTCCCGCTGTTATCTCTTCTCTGTCCTGGATGTGTTCCCTCGTGCTGGGCACGCAGGTCCTTTTATACGCTGCAGGGCTCCGCCCCTGAAGTCTTCTGGACCTGAGTGTTGCAGTCTTCAATCAGGTCCGAGGAGGGAATTCCTCTCCCCCTTCCCTCAGGAAAGGGGCATGACAACTCCTCTTGCTGCCTCCTGATTGATGGATGGACTCCACCAATCAAAACAGCAAGATTTCAAGCCTGGGACTCAACCCAAGCTCCAAAAGGCAAGCCTGCTACATAAGGGTAGTGCTTCCATGGGTAATTGAAGAAGACACAACACAATGTCATACAAAGATATCTGCACTAACTGTGGAATCAAATGCAGTCAGTCTGGCTGCATTTGGATGGCACTCCAGCTTGCTAATGAAGTTGAATAAGTCTCAGCATTTCACCATACAGACATCCCCAGTTATTTTTTTATTGGTTGACTATGCACCAGGGGGGACAAGGCTGAACTCCTCAATGAGTTCTTTGCCTCAGTGTTCCTAAGAGAGGGGCAGGACAAGGCTCTCACTGGGATTGTAGAGAGGCAGCAGCAAGGCACCAGACTGCCATGCGTAGACCCTGAGATGGTGCAGAGTCACTTGGAGGAACTGGATGCATTTAAGTCTGCAGGCCCAGATGAGCTCCATCCGAGGGTACTGAAGGCACAGGCTGATGTCATTGCACAGCCACTGGCAATGAGTCGGCAGTGTGATGAAGCCATCAGAAAAGCTAATGGTACTTTATCATGCATCAGCAGATGCATGACGAACAGAACCAAGGAGGTGATACTTCCCCTGTATCGGGCGCTGGTCAGACCGCAGTTGGAATACTGCATGCAGTTTTGGGCGCCACACTTCAAGAGGGATTTGGATAACCTGGAGAGGGTCCAGAGAAGGGCCACTCGTATGGCTAAGGGCTTGCAGGCCAAGACCTATGAGGAGAGACTGGGGCACCTGGACCTTTTCAGCCTCCGCAAGAAAAGGTTGAGAGGCGACCTTGTGGCTGCCTATAAGTTCATCACGGGGGCACAGAAGGGAATTGGTGAGGTTTTATTCACCAAGGCGCCCCCGGGGGTTACAAGAAATAATGGCCACAAGCTAGCAGAGAGCAGATTTAGACTGGACATTA